GAGCTGACACTACATAAAAACTATATAGAAAATATATATATACATTAAATGCAAGGAAAGAAAATATCATTTACAATTCACAATTTTAAGTTTAAGTATGTCAGGCAAAAAGAATCTACATGAAGGTAACATCCTGTATTTTAGTCTTAAAGTCTGCAAAAAAACTGGTACGAAAAAAGTCCGGCAGTGCATTCCACTGCTTAGCTGAAAAGTAAGAAAAGGAGTTAAGACCATAGGTAGTTGTTTTAGGTTTACTTAGTGAAAGAATGTAGTTGCCACGAAGATCATAGGAAGAGGACCGGAGTGAAAACATATTCTTCATATAAGTAGGAAAATGAGTGAAAAACAAACTCTTATATAACAGAATGAGGAAATTTTGAATGCGTTTGTTAAACAAAGAAGTAAAGCTGACTTTTGAGAGAAGAGTGTTGTATGGAGACGAGTAATCTCCAAGTATAAATCTAAGTATTCTTTTATTTAAAGCTTCGAGCTTATCCGCATCGCGCGCACCACAAGCTTAGTGTCACAAGCAAGCTTAGTGTCACCTTATTTGATGATGATGATGATGATGATGAGAGTTGTAAATTCTTTATTGTAAATATCCTATTATCCATCCCGCAGGCCTCCCCTACTCTCCGGGGCTTATCAAAGATAATTTGCACTATCTGTTAGTGGGACTTCTGCCACACTGCTCAGGCGCAGTTTGCAATAATAATGAGTTATGAATGCCCCTAAACTGAATCCAGTGCAAGTATCGAGAAAGATCCCAACATCGGAGACTACGTACCCTAGTTTACGAACAACACTAAATACCTTAAAGAAGTGAAGTTCCGCCAATTTTAAACTTTTCCAATTATTCAAAGTAATTCTCTTATGTCGGCAGGACTGAACTCTGCAAGGAAATTTACAAAATGAACGATTTTTCGTGATGGCCTTGCGAAAACTTTAAAATTCACAATATTCACGATTTTTCGTCATGGTTTTAGCATGTTTAGAACAATTTAACCAAATTTTTATCCTTTTCAAAGCGGCGCTGCGGATTTTACAATTTTAACGAAAACTGTAAAATTCACAAACGCCGTGTTTTTTCGTCAGATCTTTATGCGAATGTGTCACAATGTTTCTCCCTTTGTTGTGTACATAATAACAGTGGCGGATCCACGGGAGGGGCCCGGGGGGCCCGGGCCCCCACTTATTTTTAGACCGAAGGGCCGCAAAAAGTTTTTTAGAGAAGGCCCCCCCCCCTCCCTCCGGTCTGGATCCGCAACTGAATAACACATCCTCGCAGCAACATTGCTGGTATACAACGTTCTATAAGTGAAGTCCGCCGTGTAAATTTTGATTGCAAAGAAGAGAAACATGGAAGAATATACCTTCGATCTTTTTTTGTCGTTATTTTCGCAATTTTGGCTGTTTCGTCGAGGGCCTTCCTTCGCCTCTGATTCGCATTTCTTTGTCACTTTTGTTAAAGGCCTTGCAAAATTTTGTTATTTTCGCAATTTTAGTAACACTCTAGCAAACGTTTTGGGATCTTTCATTACAGAGTTCAATCATAGACAGTATCTCAGGTGATTGACCAAACTTAGGTCGGGGCAAGGCCTGGTTAGTCTAGTCATTTGCCTCGGAAGTATTCTTACAAGAAAATGGTAAAGCCTTGTTTCATCCACATTTCATGATTCAGACATTAAGTGTCATTTTAACTAAATTTACTAAACGAATACATACTTTGACAATAACTCCTTATTTTTTTTAATTTTATAGTCCAGTTCAGTCTCAGAAATATTTCCGTGTGGTCAATTGAATCGATTGACTACGTGTCAAACACTTAAATTTGGAAAAAATGTAAATAACTTAACAAGTTGATAATTTGCCAGACTCCTCAGGGCTCAGCACAGTTGGTACTATACACAAACCACGTTTTTTTTTTTTGCTGATGGACAAACGTTGATGAATTGGAAGCATGGGCAATTAAAAACTCAGAGCCGGTTATTAAAACAGTGTTTAGACGTTGTTTAACAAAACTGCGTTTTAGGCCCTTTAAAATTTGGCCAACGCACACCTAAACATCATTTGCTATTCACAGCGTCAAGAGGGCTTAGCCGACTAGAAAACCATTCATCTACAACCCCTACTTAAGATAAACACCCTGTACAAACGGAGGAGGAGGAGGCCTACTAAGAGCCTTAAAATCGCGCGGGTCAATGTTAGACTTTGTTCAAATAACCGACTCTCAGGGTCTTTACTGAATACAGAGGCGAAAGTGCGGCCTTTGTTATGACATCTGCAAAGGGCTCGACTTTCTAGTCTTCTAGGAAAAGGATGATAAAATATATCCCCCGTCTTACCACCTGTCTTGCTCATATAAAAAATATGTGACCCACGTCGTTAAAGAACCCACTGAATGTTCGTAAGTCAATAGTACGGGACGTAGTCCTCAGTGTGGTGCCTTTCTATCGCAAATTCACATTCACATTAAGGGGTATTCATTACTCATCACTTCATTAATTGCAAACTGCGCCATAAGCCGTCTGGCAAAGGTGCCCCAACCAGAGTTGTAAATTACCCCTGAAAAGCCCTGAGGCAGTTTACAAAATTTTACAACTCTACTGAGGGCCACCTATATTTCAAATCTATTCTCAGCTGCATTCTCGGCGTTAATACTTAAATGATAAATAATACATTGGACAAAGAACTGACGAGGTTATTTTTGTTAAGAAGAAACTATAAACAACTTATCCAGCATTCAGTTACTAGAGTCATTTTAACCAATGCATGCATGGAAAATATGAAAATAAACGGCTAAATACTCAGCTCGAAGACAAACGTAAATTGATTGCTGAGCTGAATTCATCTGAGTAACCGCTCGTCAATTTTCGAGAGTCAGGTTGTCACAATGAATTGTTAGTTAGATATTAATGGGAATTTTTTTTATCCTGTTGTGTCCCGTTGCCATAGTTTAAGGTTACACATAAAACGCACTTAAGCTGAATGTAGTTAAGAAGTTATTTATTTAAACACAGATAAACAAGAGAATTGCACAGGAAGAAAAAGAGGCGAAGAAAGATGAGAAATTACCCTGCAGTTCTGAGAAACTACTTGTTCTTAATGGGGATATTTTCCACCCTTCCAAATGA